TTGAGCTAAGACCATTAAATCCTCTATCAAACAAGATCAGCATTTTATCAAACACTTGGTGGGCATAAGATGAAGCTTAAATCTAGATTCATGTGATCAAGACAAACCTAGCTTAAACACAGATTAATAGAGAGGAATCAACCTAATTAAGCACTAACAAACCCTAATTTTAATCTACCACATCTAAGAACCCTAAAAAGTTTACTCACTCATCATCATAGAAAACACCAAATCAGAAGAGTAAATGATGATAAACATGATTAAGAGGGAGATTAGAGAAAATTTAATGATGCAAATATAAAACTTTGACTAAAAGGATGATCTTGTTCTTACGAAGACTGAAAAACTCTTAAGAATATTAAGCAAGAACAAGACTTGGCTAAAAACCATTAGTCCAGCCTATTTATAGTAAAAGATAGAATCCCTAAAGCAATGGCAAACTTGTAAATAAAGGTGTCTCGGATAATGCCAACATCGATCACAAGTGATTGATGTGGATGATCGATGCTGGTCTCTGGTGCTTGACATCCATCAGCTAGTGATCGATGTGCCTGATCGATGTGGATGTCCTGAAGTCCATGCCTGTTTACATCGATCAGTCTTGATCGATGCTCTTGATCGATGTGAGTGTCCTGTCTCTTCACATCGATCACATGATCGATGTGGACGTCCATCTTCTCTGTTGCTTTACATCGACCAGATGTGATCGTTGTGGACTCCAGGCTTGATTTGTTAGAGATTTCAGTATCATCTTCAACCTTTTCCTCTATAATTGGAGGATAAAAAAACAATCTTTATTTTTCATCTAAATTAGAAGATTTAAAATAAAGGTGAGTTGAAGATGCTTTAAACCAAAAATATAGCCTGGGATTTTTACATAAAACCAAAGTTCTAAAGATTCAGTTTTTACTTTTACTTATACTTTTTATTCATATATACAGTATTATAATAAAAAAAACTTAGCTAAGAAGATACTTATAATTTATTTTTCTATCTGTTTATTTTTTGTTTTATTTATAATTTTGAACTCTTGCTATAATGAGAATTCATTCATATATGATATAAAGTATTTTTTCTTATTTAAAAATAAGATGTATTTAGTTTTAACTTAACCAATCAACACATTTTGTTTATTTTAGAAAATTTGCCATGTCACATTAATGAGGTGCCATTGTTTTCTACTAACTTTTCTTAAGGTGTTGACAGATAAGATTTTTTTAGTAAATTTGCTTCTCAAATAATAGTTAGCATTATATTAAGATATTATATGATATTATGAAAGATTCTGAAATAATTTTGAAATTAAATTAAATTAAATTATATTTGTATCACATATAATTTATTGATATTATCTGCTAACAAACTAATATAGTTTAATTTAATTTATTTGTTAACATTTTAATGATATGATAAAATTACCCTTAATAAAATGATTAAATTTTCTAGGAAATCCAATGGTGCATTTAGTAAATACCATAGTAGCATTTGGACATTTAAAAGTAATGGATCTCTTTTAATAGTATAGATGTATATATAATCTTTGATGTAGCCAATAATGTGTTCATTTAAAAAGTGACGTTTACAAGAAATAAATAAATGTCTTAGCCATATTGAAATTCTGGATTAAATCTAACAGGTACACAAGCACAATCATAAATTTACAGAGCACAAGAACCTCGGAGCAACAATGCTAGAGTAGAAACTATCAAATTACTACACTTAGACCAAGTGGTACCAAATTCAGTTTAAAACTATTTGCTAGCTTAAACCGTCATCAAACTCGGATATAGAGAACATGCATAAAACATAGGGTTTGACTGGTATGACAACTTAATAGATGAATAGCAGAATAATTGAATAATAAACTAGTGGAATTAATAGGATGGATAAAATGAAAACTAAATAAACTCAAAATACACTAATATGTTTTTACAAACGTGCAGAATGAATGAATTGAAAAATAACGTAATTTATACTTTTTATCATCCACTGCTTAATATTATGAATTATATGTATTTAGTGGAATCACGTTTTCAAAAAATAAAAAAAAAATCTACATACCATTCAACACCATAGTAAAAGAGCTCCACTGAATTCAAAAATTACTACATTTGGCCTCATATGAAGCTCGATATATTCAAGAATGGAAAACCTTAATTAAAAGAAAAGACATCGTTCTCAGTACTCGGGCAGTGTACTCTCTCTCCCGATTTTCTGTGTTTCGATCTATCTCCACTGTGTACTCTCTCTCCTGATTTGAACCAGCAACACAGTACTCGGGTAGCTGATGGAAACCCAAAAAAAAACTCAGAATGAGGAACAATCAAAAGATAATGCTGAAAAACACAACTCCAGAACAAAGAAACAAATTCCTACTGCATAGAAACAATTTAACATATGTTTCAAATATTTACCTTCACCAAAAGAATCAGCTCTCTTTTCTAATAAGAGACTCTTCTTGAAGATCTCTTCATTAGAAGACATTATAGAGAGTGAAACTACGGACAAACAGAGATATTAGACAATCAATAGATATTTGTCATTACATTTTAAAAAAGAATGGCACAAGATTTTTACCAGATTTTCAATAGCCTGCTGTGACTTTGAGAATTCAATACAGATAGGCACAACTACCAGTGAACCTAGATGTGGCTCTTAAATATTCAAAGTCATTGCGGGTTATTGAAAATCTGTGGATGTGGCTCTGAATAAAGTTTCGTTTTCCATCTTCTCTGCCTCCACACTAATCAAAATTTTTAATCCCTCCTTACTCCAAATTGTTGGTTTCAACATAGCTGTCTGAATACTATGATGCTGGTTCAAATATTTCAAACCTCATATTGTGAACACCAGTATCCACCATGACAAAGTATTTGGTTGTATCCACACCATGAGCATTGAATCCGATTCAAACCGTATCTATGGGTATTTCAAAGTTCTCACTTTATCTTCCTGAGAAAGGATGCGATATATCTTGAGCTTCATGTGAGCTTCCAATGTAACAATTTGTGGATTTGGAAGAGCTCCTTCATCATGTTTTTGGGTCTCGCCAACTTGTATATTCCCAAAAGAGACCATATAACATCTTCTAATATTAATGCCAGATTAATCATGTTCACCGCAATATCCAATGGAGATCAGATAACGGGTTTCAAAGGCTATGCAAACATGATTGATCTAGCTTTTAAGAAGAAGAATACACAAACATTTCTAAAGACTATGATCCCTTTGAGAATTCACAAGTATCTCTGAAATCCGAAAACATGTTGAAACAGATATTTCCAAAGGGTAGATTCGGGTTATCCATGGCTAAATTTCATCTTAGGATCCTTCTCCACAAATCCGTCTTTCCATTGTTTGTGTTACAATAATGTCAGAGACTGATATTAGGGTTTAGTAATCCAAGCAAATACCAACCAATGAAATAAAAAACCCCAGCAGATGCGATTATAAAAATGTAACCTTATCTATTTCACCATCTCGATTGACACTTTTAAAGCTCCTTAGTTTAGGTTCAAATTCAAATATTGATGACTCTCGCCCAAATACACATACCAATTTTATTAATCTTAGCTTCATCTCTCATCTTGTTCGAACGAAACCTACAGAAACTACCACTCGAATAAGAATGAAATAAAAAGATTGCAAACTATGTAAAATACGAACAAAGAAAGATGTAAAATAAGAAAATGAAGCTGAGTTATTTCGATCTGTGACTTACATGAAGCAAATCGTGGAAAAGCCCTAGCCCTAATCATAAGATTCAAAGGATGCTTCTTCAAAGCTGCCGATCATTTTTAAATGTTTTTTTAGAGAAATGAAAAGAGAGTACATATAGTATTTTTCTCTATTATTAGCGTACATATTAACTCAGTGGACCGCGTTGCACGTAATCGCTTACCCTTCTTTCTCTCGTTACACTGTTCCTTCTCTAACTCTACACACTCCATAGCTTTTTTTTTAATCCAAATTGTGGTTGTCTCTATCTCCAAGAACACGACTTTTATATATTCATTTTGAAGTTTGGTGATTTGATTCGTATCCTTCACAATTTAATGATTCATATCCATGATTTGATGATTTGAGGATACGATTTGATTATTCATATCTATGCTTTGATGAATTGAGGATACGATTTTATGATTTATATACATGCTTTGATGATTGATATCCATGCTTTGATGATTTGGGGATACGATTTGATGATTCATATCTATGCTTTGATCACTGGATAAAACTAATCAAACAGATTGTGATGCGATTTGATGAATCAAAAATCCAGCAGATACGATTTGATGATTCACATTGATGGTTTGTATAATTTGAGATTTCGATTATGTAATTCTAGGTTTTGATGATTTGGGTCAGTCTAAAAAAGTTTTTTTTCCTTGTCCTTCTGAGTTTAAGTGAGAGAAGAAGCAAAATAATAATTTCTTCATCGGAGAATGAAATGGGAACGGGCACTTCACAATCAAGTAGGACAATGGTTGATAGATACCCACAAGAATAATGTTCCTGCTTCATAAAGAAGGTATTGTTGTTCAAGATGATAGATACCACAAGGAGATTTTTGATTATATTGCATCTAGAGTATTAAGATTTATATTACAACTAGAGAAATCCATTAGCATTGATGTTCTTTTTGTTTCTTATGTATCAGGAAGAAAGAAGATGGATATGATGCCAGAGCTTGTACAAAGCTAAACATTCCGACTAATTAACATAGATTAGTACAAGGCAGGCTAAATTTTATTAATAGACTGTATAGTTAGTTGTTCAGGCAGCATCAGATTAGATAGTATTTAGTATACTATAATGTATTAACCAAATTATCATATAGCCATTTACCATTAGGTGGGTTAAAATAAGAGAAGAGAATGGGACACAATGTTGATGGATCCTATAACTTTTAAGTTATAAATTTCCTTAATTTCCAAGTGACATAATCTTAGAAGAAATGATTCACAAAGTACTTGTTTTTTGTTGCTGAGAATGAGCAATAGTTGATGTAACTTTGATACCCTAGAAAATATCAGTACACAGTAGAAAGCAACTTTCATTGGCTTCTGAAGAAAGAGAGACATTTTACATTTTTAATCAATGGGAGAACAGTCTCAAGGGCATATTAAAATGGAAGAAATCATTACATTGTGAATAAATAAAAATATATAAATGCAAAATCATAGCTTTTCACATCTTCTTGCATCTCGTCTTTACTGTCTTATTTCAATCATGGCTTATACTCATATAGGCAAGAACCATAACCTGTACCAACCATATCCGGATCAGATACAAATGGTTCACTATCTGCTAAGATTCAAGGGATTCAATTACAAAGAGAGATAAGAGAGAGAGGGAGAGAGCTTACTTGGGTCAAGCTCAGTGATCATGGCAGCACCTCTGAAGTAACAAGAACCACCTTTGTTCTTATAAGTTTGGTAATAACTGTTAAAGGCAAAAGAGGCGTGATCCTTGGTTGTGTTGGGCAAAAAGCAAGGCTGGTCTGGCTGCTGCAATTTGCTGCAGTCGGCTCCGCCTTGTCCACAAGCCCAGTTTAAGGCTGCTTGTAACACATCTTCTGGCGTTTGTTCATCAGCTATGCACCATTGTTCCGACTCTGCCTCTGTGTATACACATACTTACATCTTGCATAAGGCCAATAGGGACATATAGGATGCACAAGTGTGAACATTGCAGTGATACTTTACCTGAATCTTGAGGAATTGTAATTGCTATGACAAGCAAAGCAAGAAGTATCCTTATCAAGAAATTTGACATATTTCCCAAGAACGCAAATGAGTGGAGCAGAGAGATTCAGATCTGATATAGTTTGGAAGTTTAGAAAGCTACAAAATTAATTGCAACTTGACCCTTTTTATAAAGAATCAATACTCCAAAAGTTCAAGATCTATGATTTTAATTTCTTAAATGTGAACATAATGACTTGAGAATCTTGTTTTGCTTCAGCTGCAATCATGTGCCAGATCTGCGTTTAGACTGATTTTGAGGAAGATTTTGTTCTGTTTCAGGAAGCTTCATAAAGACAGAGTCATCCATACACAGATACACTTCCCATAAAGGGCCATTACTATTACTACACAACATACAAAGCTGTCATTACTATTACTACACAACATGCAAAGCTGTTTTTACAGTTAAAGAGGAGAGAGAGTTTGGGTTTATATGAATGAATATAATGGAGCTATACACCAGAAATCTGCTATACACACAGGCGCAGAGATCAAAGACGATAAACTGACTATACAAAAGAGAACGATTGCGGTTTTTCGCGGTTTCTTCTCATACTAAACCAGAAGAGGTCTTCAAGTGAGAAGAACGATGGATATTTGGACAGGTTCTTGCAGGCCATGAATGTTCAAAATAACTTACCCGACGTCAAAAAAGCTCCCGGGTAGGTATATATACTCCTACAAAGGGCAATGACTTTCTAAGTCTTTTAACCAGATTCAAAGAATCTTGCTACAGCTGCATAGAGAGCTTCCTCTTCAAACGGTTTTGATACATAACCATCCATCCCACATTTCACACATTCTTCGTTAGTAGCCTGAATCACATCAGCTGTCATTGCTAATATCGGGACATGCCAGCTACTGTACATTTCAGAAGACACTTCTTTAGAAGCTGTTTTCTTGTTCATCTCTCTCTCCAGATCACGAACTCTCCTAGTTGCTTCAAATCTGCACAAAGATGATGAGTTTATCAAGAACCATTCAAGAAATGATATCAAGAACCATTCATTTCAGAATATCAACAACCATAAGGGGTAAAGATTAAGAAGTGATTAGCTAACCCGTCCATTTCAGGCATCTGGAGATCCATGAAGCAAGCATCGAAGTCGTGAGGCGGTTTAAGCATTGATAATGCAGCTTTGCCACTCTCAACACATGTAACAATAGCTCCATATTTCTTAAGTGCGCCTTCTGCAACTCGTCTGTTCACAAGATTATCGTCCACAACTAGAATCCGCTTTTCTCTGAGTAAGTGTCCAAGATTGATTTGCTTTCTGATCGGTTGCCTCTTCTTGCCATTGGCAAGGGTTTCTTGCAGACAACATATCAAGACACTCATCCGAAGGGGCTTTATTACCACCTCGTCGATGAGACCAGAAGACTTCATCTCACTGCGCTCAACAAGAGTTGCAGAAGTCGCCAAAAGTAAAATCTTTGGTGGTCTTGCAGAGGTTTCTTTGCTAGAGGTAAGTAACTCGTCAAGTACTGCAAAGTCTTTCTTGTTCCATGCGTCTTTGTCGATTAGAACCATACCTAAATTTCCTAATTTACTGCAAAAATTCAAGAAAATAGAACTTTTTTTAGCAGAAAACAACTATAATCTCTACAAATGCTTAGCGAAGTTTAAAAATTTCATGTCAAATGAACAAAGCAAAGAAGTTAAAAGAGTAAAGATAAACACAAGTACCTGACACAGGTACATGCAATTCTCAGACTGGAAACAATGTCTGCAGATATTCCCAATCTCCGAAGATGATAACTTGTAACCTCAGCTCGAATGTTTCTGTCATCAATAACTAATGCCTTCAATCCTCTGAACTCCTGAATAGCTAGATCGAATCGCTCAAACTTAGTAACCAACGAACTTGTCTCTGCTTTCCCGAAAACTCCAGTAAATGAGAAAGTACTGCCTATCCCTGGCTCACTCACAAACCCCATCTCTCCTTCCATGAGCTCAACCAAACGCTTGCTTATGCTCAAACCTATGCCCGTTCCACCATAAGTCCGCGATGTGGAACTGTCTGCTTGCATAAACGGAGTGAAAATTCGGCCTTGCGCATCCAGAGGTATGCCCACTCCTGTGTCCTCCACTGTCACTAGCAGTTTGATTCTATCAGAGTAATGGTTCTCATTGCTGTAAAATGTCTTGAAGTTCTTCCAGCTTCCCCATGCGTTTACAGCAGGAAACCCGCTTACCGTCTCACCAGACTCACTGCATCCTAAAGCTAGTCTCTGTTTTAGAACTGCATCTTCGATATTAAGAGGCTCCTTTACCTCATCTGCAAGGTGCACTGAGATAAATATATGTCCCTTTTCCTGTGTGAACTGTTTATTACAGAAACAAGAAAATGATTACTATAGTAGTAGATAAGCATGTTGTTTTGTAAGAAGCGAGCATTCTAATTTAATTACCTTGATTGAGTTTCCCACCAAGTTAGTAATTATCTGCCTGAACCGACTCGGATCACCAACTACAACATCAGGAACTTGACTAGAAACGTAAACAGCCAACTGTAACAATAAACCGATATTTCATGAGATTTGTTTGCCACTTGAAAACATTATGAAGTGGTTTATATTATTATTACCTCAATTCCTTTTTCATTTGCTTTGCCAGAGAGTAGAGAAGAAACATTATCAAGAACCAAACGCATATCAAAAGACACATTCTCAAGCTCGAGCTTTCCTGATTCAATCTTTGCCTGATCAAGAACCTCGTTTATTAGTGATATAAGATCTTTCCCACTACCATGAGCAGTTTGCGCATAGTCCATTTGTTTCACATCAAGATCGGTGTCCATCAGCATTTTCAGCATTCCTGTAACAAACATGGTTAAAACTTTTCAGCTGATTTTCAAGAGAACTTGGAAATGACAGAGGAGCAAGTCGGGAAAGGTACCTAGAACACCATTCATCGGAGTCCGAATCTCATGAGAAACAGTTGCTAGAAACTGGATAAATAAGAAGCATGTTAACAAAACAAAAAAGGTTTCAAGCTTTTGAAGCTATTTGATTCACAAAAATACACCTGTGACTTTGCAATGTCAGCAGCCTCAGCGCGAGCATGAAGTTCCCTCATCTTCTGACAGTCCTCTTCAACTATCGCAATTCGACTTATGGCGTCATGGAAGATATAACCAACCAGGAAAGTAATAATCAGAACTAAGGACGACGATATTATCGCCATCCAAGGAATGGGAAGTTTATGCTTAAACCTGTAAATGAAAAACGCCATCTTCATACTTCAAAATAGAGAGAAGTGCAACATATCTTACGGAAAGAACATTAGAGTAAGTAACTAACCTGCAGCGCATCTCATGATTCCTTGATGGATCACCAAAATCAAGGCTACTTATGTGCTCTTCACTTACATCCCCAATTTCTGAGCCATACATTTTGATTAGACCAGAAGCGTTAGTTGTGTCATAAACATCCACCACAATTGTCTGTTTGCTTGCAAGTTGGTGAAGAAGTTTCTCCACCAGCGATGGCATATCATATGATGCACCAAGGTACCTGTTTCATGTGTACAGAGATCATACTCTAAAATAAGATTTCCATTCTTTGATACACAGAATCATTTAATATCATCACAACCGTTTATGGAGAGAGGTCATAAAAGCAAAAGCAGTACCCAATAGTTGCTTCAACGCGCTGTTCTTCTGTAGCATCAGGCGGTAGGTTCGTGTCATAGACAGCAAAGGTCAACACGACGCCAAGATGATTTGACTTCAGAAGCTTAAATGGAGATGTCAATACTCCTTTTCCTGATGCCCTTGCCCGCAATATGTTTTCGCGGTCTTCCTGCAAAATTTTTAGACTTGTGAATTATCTTTTACAGCACATTGGTTTGCTAATAGAGAAAGGAAACGTTTTTAGACGTTACTGACTTCTCCAGACATCATGTCGACAGATACAATATGGGAAACAGTTTCTTGAGCAAATATAACTGGCGCATATTCGTCTTGAATAGGCGCTGGGTCGAAGTTTTCAGGAACACAATCTTGGACAAGTGTCTGGTCCTCAGTTTCCATTTTCTTTATTCTCCACCCATGCTCCTTTTCAAATTGCTCTCTTTTGGAGTGTGGGACTTTCAAAGCGTACGCAACACCACTAGTAAGAGGCCTCTCAAAGTTTGTTCTCTCAGTATATTCACCAAAAGTTTTCTGTAAATGTAAAAAAAGAAGTTGATGATTTAAACAACATCCAAAGATTTGCTTTTTTCTCATTTATATAAGAACATTGAGAAAAACACATCACCTGATCAATGGCAGATGGGGCTTTACCATGGTGAAAAGTGGATACAAGAATAGACAAGGCATGGACATGGTTCAGGCTAACATTGAACTGATCTTGTAACACGCGGGCTCGTTCATCACACATGTTCTCTAAAGTTTCCTTTCTTTTCAGAATGATCTTCTCATTGGTGTCCCAGAACCACCAAACGGACATGGTAACTCCAGCGATAACACCGAGGAGAAGTATGTTCATCCTCCATTTTCCAGCTCCTCTAATAGCGGTCTGAGCACGTTGTTGCTGCTGCTTTTGAGCTAAAGTCTCTTGCAGATACACTTTTTCTTTTCTCTCATTTGGTGTTTTAGGATGAACAGCAAAAAACTTATGGCACACCAGTATACCAAGGATTATACACCACCATGTGTTTTTCAAGAAAGATGGCAAATCCCAATCCATCCCTCCTTCATGGTTTTCAGTTTCTTTGCGTTGCAGTAAACTCTACACACAACCAAAACATTCAAAAGAAAGTTTTGTGAGACCAAGTTTTCGCAATTTTCTTGACATTGTGCAGGAATTGAATGTTATCTTTACCTCTTCAAGATCATCACAGACGCGAGCTGCTGATGAAATAGATTCTCCTAAGCCTGATGGACTAAGATTCCAAGGAATCTCTCCATCTGGAATAAAGCATCTTTCATGGCATCTCCCAGTCTCTTTTATCTCGTAACGCATATTGAGGGAACATGTAATACCATAGTTCGCCCACATTCCAGGACTAGATTCCTTTCGACATTCAAATGATGTTACCTGCAACAGATGCAGAGAATGGTGAATTTATAGTAAAGTGTTTGTCTTTTCAAGGCAAATCTGGTGCGTTTAGTATGTAAAGCTTTTCAAAAAGCTCAAATGTGTGTAAAACAAAGTCAATTCAAATTGTTACCAAAGGCAAATTTGGTGCATTTATAGTATATAAAGCTTCAAAAAGCTCAATTTTGTGCCAAAGCCAACAAAACAAAGTCAAACTAGATTATTACCTGATCTGAATCAGAGAATAAAGAGACCAAGTCATGAATCTCACTCCTTGTGACGTTTTGATTCATGTACAACACTTTAGCTTCTCCATTACAAGAAGCTGTCTCATCCTTCCGCGAGAACATCAAAAGAACAATTGCCACAGAGGTTGTCAAGATACACAAAATCAAGAACATGAGAGGCTTTTTTATCCATTTCTCGCCACCGTTTGACTCCTTTGCCTTCTTTGAACTGAGATTCGAGAGTTCACAATACATGTCGATTCGTGTTCCTTAAACTCAGATTCAGCTGAAGAAAAACAGGGAAATTCAGATCTCTCGGAACTCAAAAACTAGAATTTGATCAGCGGAGCAACAACTTCAGATATTAAAGCTGAGTTCTTTGAAACCCCTCCAAGAAGAAGAAGAAACTGTGACATGTTTCCGATGAGGAAAGCTTTTTCTCTTACTGAAACAAATTAAGACGCAAGACGACAAGATGAGCCAAACCCAGTGGTTGCAATGGGAAAACTTGGAGAAAGACATTGTTTCAGTAAAGAAGTGGAAAAAGAGAAAAAGGACAAAGCTTTATCTTCTTTCATGGTTTCAGGGTAAATGTGTAAAGCTCTTTTCTATATTCAGATGTGTGAGAAGCTAAAAGAAGAGAAGACTTAGCTGGTGTCCCTCATTAACCAAGTGGACTCAATGATCAGACTTGGACAAAAGAAAAGAGAATTATGAGAAAATGGGATAAGAAAAAGAATGTGCACTTCTCACTTCTTTTTTAAACTCAATTTTGGAGTTTCTTTGTCTTCTCGTGAACACCATTTTGAATTGAGGTTTTTGGGTCCATGATTATCTCATCATCTAGGTGCGGAAGGTATTACATTGTATTTAAATACTTAGATGTTAAAAAAAGATAATGAAAACAAGCCAACTAGAACAAGAATCAATACCCCCATCTCTTAAAACTTAATACCAACTCATTATTATTTGTTTTTTTTTGTTCTTTTGGTATTACTAAATTGCTTTGTAAGCATAACTTAACATCTACTCTACATATATGTATATTTTATTGTTTAATCAGTCTGTGTATCTTTGTCTCCCACCCATATTCAATTTTAACTAATAATAATTTAAGTGAAAAAAATTGATGTGTTAATATAAAAAAAGTTAGTATATTCTATTATTGATATGGAAATATGACATATCAAGTTTTCTAAACTAAATTAAATATTTTAATTAGTTGAGTTAAAAATTAAATAAATTTTATTTTTTAAAATTATATTAATGAAGATAAAGCAAAAAAGATGATTTTAAAGACGATTTTATTACGGTTACTTAACCGGCTCTACCCCACCCCTTTGGTGGCAGTTTTTTACTTTTTCGATGAAGGAGTAGCGATTTTCTCGGCAGATCTGCACTCTTCATCGAGTATGCCCACGATCGATCTCATGAATGATCGTGATGACGGTTTCTTCGTAACAGTTTCAACCGAATTGTTTATTTAAAAGCGATGTATATTCATTGATCAAATCAATCCAAATCTCAAAGCTTCTCAACTACTCATTCTCGTGCATTTTCCTTGCCAAAACCCATGGCTGAAAACTTATGCAGAGCAATCCAAGACATTCACATAGGTGCAGAAGATCCCCCGTTTGTTTTACCGGAGGAAATTGTTCACCAGGCGCTGGCGGCGAACCAATTCGTAATCATCGGTCGGTCGGTGATCCCGGAAAGACAAAATCTCCGATCAATCGTTGCTAACTTACCCAAGATTTGGGGGGTCGATGGGCATGCGCATGGCAGAATCGTCGCAGGGCAGCGTTTTCAATTTGTTTTCTCATCTGAGGAAGCACTAGAATGGGTGTTATGCACGGGGCCGTGGGCATTCGCAGACTGTATATTGGTTCTTCAACGCTGGACTCCAAGAACTAACCCGGAGAAATTGAATTGTATCCCTTTCTGGGTACAAATCAGGGGGATACCATTTCAGTACCTCAGCCGCGATGTGATAGCGCACATTGGAAGAGCACTCGGGATGCTTCTGAAGGTTGAATACAACCCATAAATGGCGGCTCGGGTGGAATTTGTGCGGGTCTGTATTGACTGGGACATTCACCGCCCCTTGCGATTCCAACGGAATTTCCAATTCGCTCCAAGAGTCAACACAATGCTCAGTTTCACGTACGAGCGACTACGGGGTTTCTGCGAGGTCTGTGGTATGTTAACTCACGACTCAGGAAATTGCCTCATCCAAAACGGAGGCCCAGACCCAGACAATATCGATGAGCACGAAGATGATGGCAGCGATGATGAGATACATGGAAACAATGAGAATCCACAGCAACCCCAAAACCCAGGAGTGATTATTGAGGAAATCAATGACGATGCTATGGAGGAAGAAGCAATCCAGGAAAGGCGTGACAATGTTGAGCCTGATGACGATAATCAGGATACCGAGCACACAACAATGGGCAGAGTTGACGATACAGGACCGCCCGATGAGGAAGATAATATAGAGGAGGATGCGTATCTTCAATGAGGGATTTACCACGGATCATCCATGCGCTCCATGGCCCTTAACGATGAATATGATCTCGATGTCATCTGTAACTCCTATGATGAATATTTCATTGAAGCCATGACAGCAAATCGTAATGCCAAACGCAAATACATAGAAGATGGAGGCAAGGTCGGGAGTTTCTTCTCAAAACGGATCGATAAGGGAGAGAGCAGCAACACCGGTGTGAAGATTGAAGACAACAATTTTGGAGGAGGCGCGGTGGGCCCTGAACCACCACTGCCGCCATGAGGACAGTCTCCTGGAACTGTCAAGGTGTCGGGAATGACTTGACAATTCGACGCCTGAAGGAGATAAACCACAAATATCTCCCGGACATCATTCTCTTATCAGAAACTAAGCAACAAGACGATTATATTCGAGATGTGGGCGCCCAATTAGGTTTTTTTCATTATGTCTCAGTTCCTCCTTTAGGACTTAGCGGAGGTTTAGCAATCTTTTGGAACCAAACTGTTAGTTTGTCATTGCTTTCTAAATTTCCTAACATTGTAGATACTGCTATCTCTAGTAATGGAATAAATTTCTATCTCACTTTGGTTTACGGTCATCCATCTACTAGTTTACGGCATCATACATGAGAGAGGTTAGAACGAATTGCAAACTCTATATTAGGTTCTTCTTGGTTGATTATGGGTGACATGAATGAGATTTAAGGGAACCATGAAAAACAAGGGGGTCGAATACGACCTGAATCCTCTTTCCAAAGTTTTAGAAATATGGTGAATCATTGTGATTTCACAGATTTGAAGACAGTAGGCAATCGATTTTCTTGGTATGGTAGAAGGGAAAATCATGACATCTCATGTTGTTTAGATAGGACGATGGCAAATAGCAACTGGCTTACACAATTTTCAGGTTCAGAAACAGAGTTTTTGGAGATAGCAGAATCCGACCATCGACCATTAGTTACTCACATAACTGATGTCAAAGAGGAGAGAAAAGGGCTTTTCCGATACGACGGTCGATTTAAGGACCATGATGGATTTAAAAATGCAGTACTTCAAGGATGGACATCCTTAGGAAGACCAAATAATTATGACCTGTCTATACATCAGAGATTACAAAACTGCCAACGAGTCATCTCACAATGGAAGAGAAGGAACCGTACTAACGCTGCAGAGAAAATAGCCCTTCTCTGTCATCAGTTAGATACAGCTATTTCAACCAATAAACTTTCAACAATAGAGAGAAGTCATCTACGAAAGGAGCTACATCAAGCTTATATTGACGAAGAACTCTACTGGAAACAAAAGAGTAGAAACACTTGGCTCAAGGAGAGAGATCGCAATACGCACTACTTTCATAATGTCACAAAGACAAGAAGAGTTAAGAACCATATTCCTTCAATTATAGATGATCAAGGAATCCTGAGACGAAGCAACAAAGACATCGCCACAGTCGCTGCACAATATTTCACAACACTATTTTCCTCCACTGCAGACCCAACACAATTCTTCGGAGAAACATTTCGTGGGGTTCGAACGAGAGCAACTGACGACATGAATAACGAGCTCACACGAGAGCTTACTTCTGAAGAAATTACAACGGCTGTATACAACATTGGTGCTCATCGTGCACCAGGACCAGATGGTTTCTCAGCGGATTTCTACCAAACCTACTGGCCTGAACTAAGGGATAAGATTGAACCAGAGATAAGAGCTTTTTTCAGTGAAGGATCGTTTGATAAAGCGCATAATCACACAAATATATGTCTGATACCCAAGGTGTCCCCGCCAACAAAAATGTCTGATTTCTGGCCAATAGCCTTATGTAACGTCTTCTACAAGATTATTTCTAAAATCCTTGTTAACCGCTTAAAACCACACCTATCGATGCTGATCTCAGAGAACCAAGTGGCTTTTATCCTAGGAAGAATGATCACGGACAATATTATAGTCGCACACAAAGTTTTTCATAGCTTAAAAGTCCAAACAAGGCAGGCTACATCCTATATGGCGCTGAAAACTGATATCACGAAAGCGTATGACCGGCTGAAATGGTCCTTCTTAGCTGAAACCATGAAACAATTTGGATTTGCTGGGAAATGGATCAACTGGATAATGACTTGCGTCTCCAGTGTGAGCTTTTCATTGCTCATTAATGGCTCCGTAGAAGGGTTGATACATCCACAACGAGGACTCCATCAGAGTGATCCCCTGTCTCCCTACTTATTTATCCTGTGTGCGGAAGTTTTGTCTCACCTCATGAACATGGCTACATCTGAGAGACGTTTTCAAGGGATCAAAATCAGTAACAAATCGCCAGCAGTCAATTATTTATTGTTCGCAGATGACTCTCTATTCTTCACACTAGCAAACCCAAGGTCAGGAAACGCGCTGAAACACATACTAAAGCTCTATGAATCAGTCTCGGGCCAAGCTGTTAACCTCAACAAATCAGCTATACCATTTGATAGTAAGGTTAAACATACAACTAAGTGACAGATGCGGCACCTTTTAGGAATACATAATAATGGAGGGGGTAGTAAATATTTAGGTTTACCGGAACAATTCGGAAGTAAAAAAGGCGAACTGTTTCAATATATCAAAGAGAAAGTTCAAACACGTACAACAGGTTGGGACAAAAAAAAATTTGGCCCAAGGAGGAAAAGAGATCTTGCTCAAGTCAGTGGTGTGTGCTATGCCGGTTTTTTCTATGAATGTTTTTCGACTGCCAAAACACATTACAAATGAGATTAACATTATTCTAGCGAAATTCTGGTGGGGCAAAGGGCATAATAAGAAAGGAATGCACTGGTACAATTGGGAGCGTTTAGGAATACCTAAAAGGGAAGGTGGATTGGGATTCGAGAGTTAAAACAATTTAACAAAGCTCTACTAGCCAAGCAGGTATGGAGGATTTTACAAAAGAAGAAGAAGAAGAAGAAGATTATCTAGAGTGGGAATACAACATGGATGAGGACATTCATTACTATTCCATCCCGACAGAAGAGAGACTTACCTACTGTCTAAAACAGCTTAGAGGAGAGGCTAAAAGATGGTGGTATCAAGAGGAGGATTACCGATGGTACTACAAAGAACCACCCATAAACACTTGGAGAAGTTTAAAGAGGATCATGAGGGAAAGATATGCACCCCACAGCCAGAAGAAAACCGATGGTACTACAAGGAACCACCCATAAACACTTGAACAAGTTTAAAGAGGATCATGAGGGAAAAATATACACCCCACAGCCAGAAGAAACCGAGAACAAATCTTTTTATTTTAGCAAACTTTCTTTTTCTTGTATTTTAAATGCCTTGTAGTTTTTTTTTAAAAGTCTTGTTGTCTTGAGTTTTTGGCATTTCAAACCAAGGAGAATGGAGGCAGCAAATACTCTTTCCTTACTTGACTACACGTCCACAAGCTGCTAAGGTAAGTATTTCATTTATTTGAATTATTGACTAACTTCCTTGTGTTTGTTTTTTTGTGATCTTCTTTTGGTCTAGCTTTTATTTTGATTTATTCAGTAGTTAAGACATTTGTTAGCCACGAAATTAGCACCAATAATGTAGTTTTCATTCATTGTAATTTGCTTCAAATTTCCCTAGAAGAACATAGCTGTTTGGACTGTTTATAAAGTCCCCTCTCACAGCATTGTATTATTCAACTTTTGATCAATAAAATAAACCATGTTTTTGTTATTATACAAGATTGTTCTTGTTGAGTCTTTTAATGTTGTTCTTTGTGTGGAATCACTTAGAGCTGTGCCAGCTTTGATTTATCAGAGAATCTCTCATACTCTCTGTGGTGCTTCCATTCCCCTCTTGTCCAGATCTCTTGTGGAATCAAGTTGTCTTGCTCAAGTGCTGATTGTGGAATCATTCAGCAACTCCTCCATCTTCTATTGAAGCTGCGGATCTTGAAATCATGTGTTATAAGTTTGGTGGACTCCATGCTTGTATCATAGATTGACCCCAAGCAATTCCAAATTCTAATTAAAACCTTAACTAGATCTCACAACAATTGAATATAGAATTACACAAAACACTCACTTTTAAGCTTTCTTATTTTCTAAAAGCACCAGGCGCCATTTGCTTAATGATCGTATGAAGTGTTAATCCTAACATTTCTCATACAACCCCCTTTTATACTAAGTCTTTAAGACCTAACTATCTTAACTTGAGCCTTGTCTGTCTTCTCCTTTCAGTTTGTCATAAAATACCACAAATTTGCAAGCGTGACAAATTTTACCACGAATTTGACACAAATTGCTAGAAATTTTAGAAAAAAAAAATTTGTGGTAAATTTGTGATAATTCTGGTTGTATATTACTTTTCTTGTAGTGTTCATCAATAACCCCAAAATATGCAAAAAAATTCTATAAGTTGCCCTTGTCGTCATCACTGTCATCCTCAGTTTTCATATTTGATGTTTAAAAACAAACTGTCCTTCTTCTTACTTGTTTCCACACAGTCAAATTCTGTGAGACCAGCTCATCTGCATTCTGTGCACTTGAAATTTTCTCTCTTCTTAATGGTCGGACATACATTCTTGATGTGATTAAACCTTTCACACTCATGACACTGGATTTTGGTTCTATTAAAGTTTTTTTCATATTTCTGATCTCCATCAAAAATTTTGAAGCTTGACACAAAATTCTTATGTTTTTTTTTAAAAAAAATTGAAATATTTCTCTGGTGAGTGAAGTCCAGATGACTGACAACACCTTAGAGATAAACTTTGACATGTCTTTCTCTTTAATCGTCTATTCCCTTTTGGGTTTTAGATGAACAATTCCTTTTGCATCAATCACAATTGGGGCAGTCCACCCTTCTTCCATCATAGTCCAAGCACCTTCATCTATTCATTTGATTATCGCTTTGACTTAAAATTTCTCCCAACCAAAGTTCTCCTTCTCAAGCAGCAGCGGTTTCATTGATCCAAATTGCTGCATATTTTCCATACTACTTTTCAGATCACACCTGATTTAAAATAACAATCAATTTTTAGCAGATATCTGCTGTGATACCAAATGTAAGTGTAGAAAACTAGCAACAATAGATTTATGTGTCTTGGACAACAGAATACGAATGTTTTTATTTAACTTGAATCTGATTAGATAATCTTACAACGGTTACACTAACTTTGGTGTTGCTCAACTTTAACTTCCTAGATTAACCCCATACGATTCCAAGTTCTAATTAAAACACCAACTAGATCTCACAACAAGTGAATATATAATTACAAAAAACATTCACCTTTAAGCTTTCTTATTTTTCTCAAAGCACTAGGGGCAATTTGCTTAATGATCGTATGAAGTGTTAACTCTAACACTTCTCATACAACCCCTTTTTATATCAAGTCTTTAAGACCTAACTACCTTAACTTGAGCTTTGTCTGCCATGTCTTCTCCTTCCTTGTCTTGCCTTTTTCGTATATGTGGTGATATACGAAAGATCCTCTTCAATTGATTTCTGCCACGTCAGTTTCTTTTGATATGGCAATATTCCACTTATGTTTGTCCCATCTGATATGCGTCCTCAAGTCCGCTACAGATTTCCCGCCTCAGCTGCATCTTCAAAACCCACATAATTTCGCATAAAATATTATCAAAAATAAATATCAGAATTTCAAAATTTAGCAAAAACACAAGGAGGTTATTAATGAATCTTAACAGTCAAAACCCACATCATTTCACACAAATCTCATCCATAGGTGTAACAAAAAATGAACACAAGTATTTTATCAAACACTTCTTATGCATTATAAATCTCATCCACAGGTTTTGACAAAAATCTTTAAAAACCAAAAGGAGTCATCCATTAAGAGTATGTGATTAGTCGAGCATTCTCCTAATCATTTCTAGATCACACAATCAGTGGGGACTAAGATGAAAATCGATAGGCACTACAAATGATCTGGAAACAGATATCTACAAGAGACAATCTCAAAATTTTGGAGATGAACGCACTGCCAAAAAAACATGTCGTGATATGAGGAGGGCGAGAGAATAAAAAATGTCTTTAGTGATGCTGACAACACCGGCGATGAAAACGAGAGGCGACACTGGCAATGAGAAACAAAAGATGACATAAGATCATCTCCGACGGGTCACTCTATTTTGGAATCACTCTATAATAGAGTTTAATTCTTCTCCAACCCAGCTCTATTTTTAACTCTAAAAGGTATATTCTAAATATATTATTTTTCTCTTTAAATACAAAATATTTATAGTTATACAATTATATTTACCAAAAATATAAATTTAACCCTTTAACTTTATTTTATTGATGATCAAACATCTCTTGTTATCAACATTTTGAAAGAAGGAACGAAACAACTTTTGAAGTAGTTGGAGAAGATAAATTCACAAAGACAAAATATTTTGGAGATCCAGCGTGGAAATTATGCATTAAAAGAACTCAAAGAATAAAACAAAATTTTACTTCGATACTTATTTAAAACAAGATATGAAGATTCGTTTATACATTCAAACTGAGCAAACACGAATTTTGCAAAAAAAAAATGGTTTATCAATAACGATATGAAAAAATTAGTTCTACATCTGCTTTTTTTAGATATATTTTTAATGATACTGATACATTTGGAAGCGATTTAGAAAATTATTAATTTGTAATTTTGTTGTATTTTATTTTGAATTTTGCTATTTTCATATATTTTTATTTTGAAAGTGTAGTTTGTGTTTCTATTATTTAAATATATATTATTGTTATATTTTAAGGTTTTAGTTTTATTATTTTTAATAGTAATTTATGTGTAGAATAATAACTAAAATTTTATTTAAACATAAAAAAATGAGATATAAAAATTAAAAGATTATATTGTAAATAAAAAAAATTCACTCCAAAATAGAGTGATAATACTGTCACACTAAAATATAATATGTTACTGTTCATCTCTCTATTATGAAATAGGAAATAGGATGAGGTTGGAGAGAATTTTACTCTATAATAGTGTTTTAGAGTGGAAAATACAGTGGGTTGAAGAAGGTCTAAGATTCTAAAGAATATCAACAGGTTAATCATATAAAAGGTGAGGGAATAAAGATAAATTTATATATATAGTAGATTAACCACGGTTTTAAAGAACGACTGTGCAGCAATAAAGAATAGAGTCAAATAAATGAGACTAACTGCTTGCAAATCAGAGCTAGACCACGCATCAATCAAATTGCTTTCTCATTCGGCGAGAACTTTGGATTAGGGTCACCATACCGCAGTTGTGCCGCATTAATAATTGAATGGATGTTTCATATGAAGTCTCATAGTGAGTTGATCCATCCTAAAAGCCTTGATTTGGTTTTTTTTGTCTTCTTATTATTAAATGATCAAAAAGGTATTGAGTGCATCTCTAGAATTGAGCTTATCAAATTTCTAACAGATTAGATCATGAATTCACGATGTGCAGTCATAAAAATATGCATACTTGTTGTCACTTACAAGTTTTGCTTGATCTGATGAGACCAGGGTAATTCACATGTAGCACATAAGAAGCAAGTGAGAAAAATAAAAAACCAAAATGAAATTGGCTACATTTTTATACTAAATGTTAACAAAGAAAAACAAAAAGGAAATACAGAATCATAAAAATAAGTAACAAGTCAAACTAGGTTTTGATTCTTCAACATTGCTAATACAACAGCTCCAATGAACAAACAGAGGCTTGCCTGTATATAGTTCCTGACATAATAATCCATAAAATCTTGTGGATATAGAAGGTTGGGTTTTCTACACTGAGTCAAAAACCGTTACATGGACATACATATATAAAGCTCTTACTCTTTTGTCTCTTGCAGCAACAGTGAATGATACATTACTCAGTCTCCTGCTCCAGTGTGAAGCAACTCCTCAGGTATAGCAGCTGGGTCCAAGTCCCAACAGTTTCCGGGCACACCGCTAGTTTCTTCTTTAAGAAACCAAGATGGCACTTGATGCGAAAACCGCAGCATCTCTCTCCGCGGTATCCATTTCGAGCTCTCTTCCTCCTCCTCGCTTCTCCTGCGATACACGGTCTTGTAGCCTTCTACTTTCACAAGCGAGGCAATGCAAACACCAAACTGTTCAGAGTATTCATCAAGGATCTCAACCATTTCGTACTGGTGCCTAACTTCATCTGGGGTCGAGTTGTTCCAGTTCGGTGACCAGTTCTTGTACACGGCCCAAATCTCTCCGGTTTTCGGGAATATCCTTACACAACCGCCTCTTCCTGTCTTCTTGTCTTTCAATAGATGGGAGAATATGTTAACGTGGTCGACTATGTCAGTGTTGCGTATCCTGAAATGTCCACACGACTTTGTGAACCCGTACTGCACCCATTTCATCGTACCAAACTCGATGTCGGTCTTCGAGCTCAAGTAGGCTATGTCGATCTTGAAAGGCTGAACCGAGAGTACTTCCCGGACCACGCAATATAACCGTGGCATACCATCATCTTCATCATAGATTGCCCATATTTGCCTAGCTTCAAAGCACTCTTCTGATCTGTTTTTATCAAAGTCGTGGAAGTCGGAGTCTGGAACTATTATTGGTCCGTTTATTTTCCGAGTAGATTGGTGAGGGCCGGAGCAAACATAACTTACATCATCTCCTACCTTGGAGGAGGCATTTACCTCATCAAGGGGAGCAGCATCCTCTGTAGCCGCTGCTGCTGCTGCCACTGAAGCTAATCTCATCATCTCTAGTCTTTGCTGAATATGTGTTTTAGCTTTGTTAATCAATATCTTCCGCGTATCCAATCCTGCTGCAGCGGACCATCGTCTTGTTGAACCATAGCTTTGGCCAGGATGTTTAAACTCGTGTTCCATGTTTACATCCAGATTTGTTGCTTTTGACTCTGGATTAGCTTTTGCAGTGTTCTCAACAAATCCATTACCAGATGACCCCAAACCAAGATTCCTCTTTTTCTCAGGTCTACTCGCCTTAATCACCGAAGGATCAGCAGGCCAGTTGGGCGGGCTTGGATATATCAGTTCAGAGGCTTTGCTTTTCATCGAGCTTGTAGTCCTGTGAGATCCTTCTTTAACTTTCTTTCTTCCCCCAGAGACTACTCCATTGCTGAGCTTATAAGGATATCCGTTGGAAACTGAAGACATACGGTTTGACTCCAGATTCCCCGGAGATGCTGTTCCCATGTATGAGTTCCAGTCATATGACTCATTTGTAACATATTCATATCCATGTGCAGGATACTGGCCTAAGAAATAAGTGGAATTGGTAGGCATGCGTGAGACAGCATCATAGCCATGAGATGATCCGTATCCATTACTTGTTGTATGAGGAGGAGGAGGCGCGTACTGAATCGATGCACTAACAGGAGCCGGCCCAGTCTCCACAGCGATGAATGCTCCTCTGCAGTTCTTACACGAGAGCCGCTTGTTCACATACTTCCTCAGATACTCGTACTGAACTTTGCAAGAGGTGCATACAGTCCAGAAAGTATCATGCCTTTCCGAAGAAACCGGTGGACAACAGTCGAATCCCGCGGTCCCGGGGGCATACTCTGTGCTGCTGTTCTTCTGAACCACCATCGAGTCCATGAGTTTCTTTCTCTTGTAATAAAAAGTGCTTTTCTTGAACTCATTCGACAGGAAAGTCCACGCTTCGGATATGATCTGGAACGCCCCGTTAGCTCCGAGGCATTTGTTCTTGTCCGGATGGAGCAGTACAGCCATCTTCTTGTACTGTTTCTTCACTTCTCTTTTCCCAGCAGATGGTTTTAGCCCAAGAACCGCGTAGTAATCAATCTCCCCGCTGCTGCGTCTACCCTGAGAAGCTATATAAACTTCGTACGTCGTCACCATCTGAGACAAACCTTCCAAGTCTGGATACAGCGACCTCGCCCTCAGCGCGTAACTCCTCGCGCCCGTGAAATCTTTCTCCGCGAATCTTCTCTCAGCGATATGCTTCGCTTTGAGAGCCTCTTCTCTGTATGCTTCCATTGTCAAATTCTCACCAACAGTTCTGCAAAAGGAAACTAAAAACGTTCTTGGAAGCTAAATCGCACAACGTTGCACATTTACGAGCACCATAATCTGCAACAGTTCACCAGAGAATAATCATTATCTTCGTTCACTACAACATAACTCAGAGGAGGTCAAAAGGCAACATTCTGACACCGAACGCAAAACAGAACCCACTTGTACACAAGAATTAACTTCGATATCAAGATCAATCCCGAGCTTAAACCCAGGTAAAGCCTTGAAAATAGAAAGAAAAATTACTTCTACAAGCTCCACTTTAGAAACATTAGCTACTTAACATCTGTAGATTTGGGTATAATTACGCATCTTGAAGTCAAAGATAGCTTAAATTTCTCTCCGTTTTCGAATAAAGTCTCAAGTTGAAACATGTACAGCGTCAAATGTAAGCTTAATAACTTCAACACAAGACTTACAACGAAACCTGATACATTAAAAGCAACTTGAGTTCGCTAATTTCTAAAACCTAATAATCCACAATCGAAAAAAAAAAAGTCGATTTCATCAAGAGAAAATGATATAAAGCTAGAGATCTTACTGGGGTTTTGTGCAGAAATGGAAACAATGCTGTAAATCTATCACTTCATATTCTTCCACCAGATGCTAGAGCAGATCAAGCCTAGCTAAAAACTCGCAAACCCCAAGAGATTGTAGATCCACTACACTAGAATTAGGGTTTCGGAGGAAGTAAAAGTTGTTCAACACTCTTGGATTCACACATCCCGAATGATTTTGCCGGCGAAAAAAGCTCGAGATTTGCAGTCGATCGGAAATCGAAAATTTAGGAGAATTAACGATAAAAATAAAAATTCCTTTATTTTTTATTTTGGGATTGGTTAAGTAATTTTCCAAAGTGAAAGTAAACTAAACGATGCTAATTTGCTAATAGTGCTTTATGCTATCGTGCACAGTAGTGAGCAGTACGCATTTATATATTTTTATAACAAATTAAATCATATTTCTTCTTTGTAATATATTAATGTGATATAAATAAATAAATCTTTATGAAAATAATTATGGGAGGCATTTAGGAGGTAAAACTTGAAACATGAAAACTAGTCTCCCGCCAATGCGCACACACCAGTTTGCTTCTTGCAAAACTTAACAGTTATGGTTAGTTATGGTTGAGTACTATAACACCAGTTTGCTTCTTGCAAAACTTAACAGTTATGGTTAGTTATGGTTGAGTACTATCGGCATGACACCTAACCATAATTTGTAGTTAACCTAGATACTGTTGGTGTTTATTTGTAAATAATAAACATATTGTCTTGATGTAAATATTGTTAGAGTTTACATAATTATATAAACACCTCATCAGTTACGTGTGTCTCGGTTATGAAAAGTCACGTCCGGTTGTGGAAAACACCGATTGATATATGAAAAGCATCACTTGGATCAATATATATACAGACATCACCACGCCATAGAGGAGAGGGAAGAGAGACAAAAGTTAGAGAGAAAACAATACAAGAGAGTGACAAAGAAGAGAGAGATTGGAATTGATTCTATTCTTCTTCTTTGAACCAGTTTCTGAGAATCTCAAAGTAGAGTTTGCAAGGGTCTATGTAAGATGTCAATTTAGAGATCGATAGTTGTATCCTGCAAGATAGAAGCCCACTGAAGCTACATACACCACTGTAGGAGTGAAATTCTGTCTTAGGAGATTGTTTCTGCAAACTTTTATCAAACGTTTCTCTTTTAACAAGCAAGAAAGAGAAAACTTAAGTTAATTTTTTATTTGTATTCTATTGTACTTATATTATTATCCAATTAATAAAGTAAATTTATTGGTTTACATTGTGATTGATCTGCATCTGTGTTATTCAAACAACAATTTAAGACAGAAATTTCATTATTCTTCGTTGTTTGAAATTGATAGATGGATCAATCGGCTGGGAATGTGAAAAATCATATCGAAAAGCCTTTTATTTTCCGAAGCGTGGATTTCAAAAGATGGCAGCAAAAGATGCTGTTTTATCTCACAACATTGAATCTGGCACAATGCTTGACTTCAGACGGACCGGAATTACTTGTTGAAGGCGACATTCCTGATGCGGTCATCAAAGCATCTGAAGCATGGACACAAAACGAGTTTCTGTGTAAGAATTACATTCTTAATGCCTTGGACGATTTTCTCTATGATGTTTATCAAATATTCATATCTCCGAAAGAGTTATGGGAATCATTGGAGAAGAAGTACAAGTCCGAAGTCGCAAGCGCCAAAAAATTCATCGTGGGAAAATTTCTGAATTTTAAGATGAACGATGCAATCTCTGTGGTGAAACAAGTGGAAGAAATTCAAGTGATTGATCACGAATTGAAAGATGAAGGTATGGGGCTAAATGAAACTTTCCTAGTTGCATCCATTATTGAAAAGTTGCCTCCAACTTGGAAAGATTTCAAGACCCACCTGAAGCACATCCATAAAGATATGAGTCTCGAACAGTTAATTCTGAAGCTTTGTGTTGAAGAAGAAAACTGTAAGAATGAGAAATCTGAATTTTCTTCTATGAAAACAAGGGCCAACGTAGTTGAGGGAAACAACATCAAAGTTCACGGCTGGAAGAATAACAAGAAGACTAAGAAATCTCTCTTGTCGCCAAAGGGATCTATCTTAAAAAAGAAGTCACAAGGTGCATGTTGGGTGTGTGGAAAGCCTGGACATAGGGCCAAGGACTGTCGCCATAAAAAGGAAGGGAAATCGGGTGGAGACGCTAACAACGTCAACCTTACCGAAAACCAGTTTATTGCAGTTTTTTCCGAGGTGAATATGGTGACAAACTCCAATGATTGGTGGCTTGACACTGGCGCTACAAAGCATGTGTGCTCTGACGTGATTATGTTCCCAACGTACGAACAAAGTTCTGGTGGAGAAAAGCTCTACATGGGGAACGCTAGCACTGCTACCATCGAAGGGAAGAGCAAAGTGATCATAAAACTCACTTCCGGGAAGGAGCTTGCACTCACAAACGTGCTACATGTCCCTGAGATTCGAAAGAATCTGATTTCGGGTTCACTTCTTAGCAACAAAGGCTTTAAGATTGTATTTGAATCTGATAAAGTTGTCCTCACTAAAGGTGGGATGTATGTAGGAAAAGGCTATTTGTGTGATGGTCTGTTTAAACTAAATGTTGTACCAATCATTAATAAAATTGCAGGCGGTAGCTCTGCTTCTAATTATTTGATTGACTCACGTAACTTATGTGAATTATGGCATGCACGAATGGGACATGCCAATTATCATTCTTTACGTAGAATGATGAATATAGGATTGTTGCCAAAACACAATCTTTTTCATGCTAATAGTAGCAAATGTGCAGTATGTGTGGAATCAAAATATTCATGACACTCTTACAAATCTGTGGAAAAATCAAATGAAATACTTGGATTGATACATAGTGATTTATGTGATTTTCAATCAACTCCAATCATCAAATCCTTTGATTCTCCATGATACTTGCTCGAAATGTTGCTGCTCCTGCACCTGAAAATTGAAAATCCCATCAAAAATTGCAAAAGCTTTTGACAGACAAAAATATACAAACATAATAACAAAAACCCACTGCTCGCGAGTACATCCGAAGGGACATAGAGAAGAGATTGCAATATATGATTCCAATTGCCACACAACGCCTGCAATCTCTTTAGATTCGATGATGCATTTGTTTGATGTCAATATACTCTTATTTCCGATCGATCGGCATATAAGTGTCTTCTCATAATCATATCCATCATATTTCATAAGCAGATTTCAAAAAATAAGAGTAGATGGAGATGTATGGTCTAATCTAAGAGATCTTGATGCTTAATCGATGAAAAAACTTGAAGAAGATGGATTGAATTTAGAGAAAATCAGTCGATTCCGTAGACCTGCACATCCGCAGCGGGTTTATCTGCTTAACCCGTTATCCGCACGGGTCTGGCCCGATAGGCCCGCTAGTCAGGCTGACACTTTTACAAAGTCCAAGCCCACCCCGCATCACTTCTGTTTGGGCCAAGCCCGCGTGCTGCGGATCAAACTGACATCTCTAAGCGTGCGAGGCCATGAGCCTGCAAACGCCAAAGCTAAGACTCAGAAGTCAAGCAAAAATCAAAAAAGAAAAGAAAGTCAACAATCTAGAAGTTTACCTTGCATCCACGAGGTGAGCGGGATGTTGGTCCCCCATGCACCATCCAGTAGAAGAACTGCTCCCACCAGCCATGGCTCCCAGAGCGGTCCCCACAGATGAGGACAGAGCAGCCGTCGTTGGCGTGCAAGGTGTAGCAGAGGGAGTCAGCAGAGAGGTTGCAGAGCTGGTAGGAGAGCAGTACCCCGGAGCCGCGGACGCAGACTCTAGACAGGTCAGAAAGGGCGTGGTAAGCACTGAGAAGGCCCCACACCGAATGGTAGAGCTGGCTAGAGCAGATCTCATTGCGGCCGAAGTCAACCAGAATCCGGGGAAGATGACTTTAGAAGCCGTAGGAAATGTAATCGCCGTGGATCGCCAGACAATGAGGCGGGGGGCGATCCACTTGGTCTCCTCTGTGAGGCGAGAGAGGATTCAGAGCAGCATATGGGGGTCGGTTATCACCAGGACCCTCTCCAGAGAATCCGGATTACACACCGACGAGGGTCGGTTAGAAGGAGTTGCCGCCTCAAACGACCGAGCCGTGTTTTTGGCCTCCTCTCCAGACCACGAGAAAGGGGCACGCTACGCGTCGGCAGATGATCTCACTGACGACATCTCGATTGAACGAGAAGTGAGATAGGAGGCGGAGCGAGAGAAAAAATAAAATCAGGAGTTTGAGTTATTTCGGAAACAAAGTAAAACCGCAACTGTATGGTTTTTTGCATATTTTATTGAAGAAGGAGAAATCAAAGTGACGTGCGAGGAAACACGCATCGCTCAGGGAAAGCCAAGAGTCGAGGGCATTTTGATAATTCTCGGCTCATGTAGTCTTATGATCAAGAAGACGCGCCATTAGTGAAGAAGAAGGCAAACAGTCCTTTGTGGCAGAGAAAGCAGCCATCGGTTTGTGAGAATCAAGGCATACTGTGCGACGAAGCATTCCATGCTTCAAACTACAGGAATCCGCCACGTAGATCACACCCATCGTTTGCTAGAATCTTGCCCAGAAAGAAGCATGATCAATGGCTAGCAATCCATCCAGGGAAGCCTGCGAGGAAATCATCACTAACAAACAATCACAACGGTATGGATCTCTTACCCCTACAGGAAAACCATCAGTCGCCCACAGACAGTTGTGGCCCCAGTTGTGGGTTGCACGGAATTCGGGTGCGCAGGTCAAACATGACCGCCCGGGAGCGTCAATCCCTCGAGGCGGGTTGCACGGAACCCATACTCATGGATCAAACGTGACCGTCCCAGACGACCTGAACTAACATATTTGGAACTCGCAAGGTTTTCTCATTTCGCTCTTACAGGGTTGCAAGACCTCTTGCTTGCGTGATTGTATGATTTCCTGCTTGCATGATTGTGTCATTCCTTGCTTGCGTGATTGTGTGATTTGCTACTTGCACGATTGTGTGATTTCCTGCTTGCATCATTGTGTGAGACCTAGCTCTGCTATTCGAACGAACACA